CTTTCGATCCAAAATGACAGAGCTCACATCATCAACTGCATGGCACCGCGCGCGCTGGTCCACACAAGACTTCCAAAATTCCCTTGCCTGTCACACTTCCTTTATACCTTTTCCCTGACCGGATCGCGTGAGAGCATTTGAAAAACAAGTTTGATGGTTGCCAGGAGGACAGATTTAATTAAAATCTGTTTTTCCATCATCAAAGCAGTCTGTGCAACAGAGCGATGGCTTCATAAAAACATGTCCTTCAAAACCTGGGTCACTGTAACCTTAAGATTGGGCCAGATCTTCTGGTTAGAGCATCCCCCAGAGAACTTTAATTACTCCAAAACACATCTGCAGCACAGGCCTGACTTTAAGCAGATAAGCTGCATCAAAAGTGAGTATAAGTATTAATTGACATAAAAGCATCAAAATAATCATTCCTATATCAACTACACAGCAGGGTATTGAGGTAGTGGTGACGCAGAGGGTAGAGAAGATTGGCCTGCGATTGGAAGGTCACCGGTTCCACTCCCCAGACCACCAACATAAAAAAAAATTGTGGGTGGAAAAGGAGAAGCACCCACACCTTCCTCCACCCTCATTTGCCTAATTCTGGGCCCTTGAGCAAGGCCCCTAACCCTCATCATCTGCTCTCCCAGGTGTCTTAAATAGCAGCTCTCTGCTCCAGACAGAGGGCTGTGGTAGCTCGGTGGTCTGTGGTTGTGTCAGGAAGAACATCTGGCATTAAAATATTTGCCAAGTCTTCATGTGAGTTAGTTCACTGTGGCGACCCCTGAAGGAGGAGCAGCCAACGAAAAAAAAAAAGGGACTACTCGGGGTCTTGACAGTGACTTAGTTGGTAGAGCTGCTGCCTCTTAGCAAGAAGGTCACTGGATCAAATCCCGACCGTGGGTCTTTCTGGATAGAGTTTGCATGTTCTCTTTGTGCATGTGTGGGTTTTCTCCGGGCACTCCAGTTTCCTCCCACAGACCAAAATCTTGCATGTTAGTAGGGCTAGGTACCTTTCTAAAAAAAAATCGGTGTCGGTACCTTCACTTTGGTGTCGGTTCCTGGACGGTTCTTTTTTCGGTACCAATTTTGTAATTAATATTAATTCTAACAAGAATAAAATTATGTTACACATTACAGTACAAATTGAGTTTTATTTTTTAATTTAGGTATTTTTCTATTCCGAGCAGTTTTCTTACATAAAAATAAACAAATAATTTCCAGTTCAAAAGACCAATTGCAAACCAGTGACACGTCATTGTCTAATGCTCACTGCTATACACTGAGAACATTTTCACTTAACAGTTTTTCTTCAGAAACATCAACATGTCTGCTTTCTCTGGACACAAACAAGCCCACTCGAGGCTGATGATGTCTCCAGCAGTAGGAAATGTTCACTCTGAGGGTGTGGATGATGCTTGTTGCACACACAGACACCTGGTCGCCAAGTTTGATAGCACTGACATATTGTCCCTCACATTCTACCAGCAGGTCACTGGATTCACTGGGGTTAGGATTGATGCAGCCTTCAATTCAATAAAAAAAAAAAAAACTTTATTAATCCCAGAGGGAAATTATTTTGTTGTTGTAACTCATTGAGATGCCATAGATGCCGATGGCTGTAAACAGGAAGGATCTCTTGTTGTAGAGGTCCATCCCATAGTGGATCCTAAGAAACTGACTGCAGATGCTGTCCAATCCGTCCACCCAGACTCTGCTGACCCCTCGGTTCCCCCGGGTCGTAGTACCGCCCGAATGCCGGGCAGAACTCCTCCCAGAGCGATGGCCACTCCTCCCAGCAGTCCGCCAAGCTCCTCGTCGCTGTGGACAGCCAACCGCAGGTGCCGAGGGATGATCCTGTCCTTCCGCTGTCCTGAGCAGTGTTTCCTGCTGCTAGTTCCAGGATCTCAGTGGTCAGGCACTCGAGCACAGCTGGCAGGTAGATGAGAATGCATCCACAGAACATCCTTTTCAACTCATTTGGGATTTGGAGCTGTAGTTGAGATATTATTTGAGCTTTTGAGATGTTAATTAGCTGCTGTTGGTTGTTGAAAACTGCCTTGTTGCCATGGTTACGCATCATAACAAATGTCCAAAACTGAAAAAGTTTCAGTAAAAATCCTTTGAGCGGCACAGCATCCGATACCAGAGGAAACAATCATCCAAAAATGTGATTTACTTCCAGAAAAAGAGGAATTAAAGTTTCCAAAAGCAAAATCTCGGAATGAAAGTAAGAGAGCTGCTCCAACATGCAGCCACCTTGAGCGGCGCAATTCTATATAGACAATAGACAATTCTTCTGCACCTCTGTGTCTCTTCCTGAATCTTCTCTGTGGTTCTCTGGGGTTTAGGGATCTGATCATCTCCCTAATTGACATGAGAACACAAAACATCAACAATAACATGGTTGTGTTATTATTAGGGCTGGGGCAGATCTGATCCAGTATCTGTATCGGCCTCCGATACCAGCATAATTTACGTATCGGATTTTCCGATCCACCTGCCGATATTTCCGATCCATGATGCATGTTTGCTTCAAACTATGGAATGGATTTCCTGAACGGCGGTGTGTCTCATGGACCCAGAGTAATAAGACCCACCTCACATTCAGGAAATCCAGTTCATAGTTTGCAGCCAGCTACAACGTGAGGACTGAGTTAGCAGCACTGTGGCTAATAGCTAACCAACTTTTCATCTAAACATGTCCGCTGTGTGGAAGTATTTTACACTAAAAACACCACAAAACAAGACGGCATCGTGCAATGTCTGCAGAGCCATAGCGCCACATTAAACCACGTTAAAGTTAGTTTTACGATGGACATTCGAGCTCCGTGGCTTCAGCGGGGCAGTACTCTTTGGTCAAACCGAAAGAGGCGACTCGACACTGGCCAGCCGCGTCCAATCTGCCCCGCTCAGTCTGCCTGTCTCTGAGGAGGGACAGACTGAGCGCGGCTGCCCCAAATCAGGCTGCCTGCTTCGGATTGAACAAGAAGTAGACGTTGCTGAAACCACGGAGCTCTAATGTTTACAGAGAAGTTGCTGAACTTCATCATAATTAATGATCAACCACTATCCGTTGTAGAAAACGAAGGATTTCTCAGCTTGGTACTTGCAGCCAAGTTATAGTTTACCCTCCAGGAGATATTTATCAGTACAACAGTAAACAATCATAAAAAACATGATTTGAAAATTATATATATTAAAAACATAAACAGCTACATTATAAAGCGATGTAAAATACTAAAAACAGGAACATGCCTGTTGGTTTATGCCATGAACTTAGCAGATGTTTGAAGCCATTTAACATATAATTTAATTCATTTATTAATTCATTTAAATGAAACAAATTTTTTTTAAATCATCAAAAAGAAAACATTGAATGAAAAGAGTGCAGAAAGAAGAAAAATTTCTTATATCTGCCCCTTATAAAATATAAAACAACTTTAAACAATCACTTAAATTAATCACTTTAATATCCACTTTAAAACTAGAAATAAAAAGAAACATGTTTTGTGTTAGCAGAATTTAATTCTAACTTTAAAACTTATCCAACATTAAAAAAACTTACCTCAAGTTGCCTTTTTGGACATGCATGCATATATTTGCACAAATTGTACTTGAGAGGAGATTATTACAGCCTCATATAAAATCAATAATGATCATATCGGAACTGGATCGGTATCGGCCGATACGCAGTTCTAGGTGTCGAGATCGGATCGGAATTTTAAAAAGTGGATCGGTGCATCCCTAGTCATTATTGCTCAAAAACATTATCTAGACTGAGAGATAAAGGTTAAACTGTCAACAACATCCTTTAAAGTTTACTTACCTCCACCATGCAGCCTCCACTGTAGTTAAAAGCAGCAAACTTTTAACAATAAAGTTTGTGACTGTCCTGTGGCCCCCATCTCACTTTTCTTTTGTCTGTCGTCCTCACATCAGGGTCAGAACCTCCTGTGAGGAGAACACAAACATTGAGCATGAGGTGAACTGTTTAACCAGCTGATCCGATGGATGAGCACAATTTTAGAAGCTAAGCTTCATCTGTTACTGTCAATCTTTAGTTAGCTTCTGACTTTAGCTAGCTACATAGATAAAATAAATTTACACACTAATATCTTAAAGTTAGTGTTACATGGATCCTAGTTTAACTCTCAGCGATGCACGTGTTAAGCTGCAGTAACGTTAACAAACGTAAACTTACCAGCTGAAACACAGACACAGCTCCGTCCTCAGAGTTCTTTGATGAAGACGAGTCCGGTCATGAAGATAATGAATCAATCCGTTCATGCTCTCTCACACTCACTGGCTGACTTTAATGCTGAGAGGAGGGGAGGCTGCTGTCCTCCTCTTTCCTTGCAGAAAAACATGTAGCAACTTTCTGCTTGTAAGCAGAAGGTTGCGTGTGTTGTGGAAACCGTTCGACAACACACACACACACTGCACACGTGAACTTTGTCTGTGGGCGTAACCAGCACCATAGACGTAGAAGCTGTAGGGCAGCTCTATACAGTTCTGGGTGTAAACACATAGTCTGTTTGTCATATGTCTGGTGTTTTACCTGCCGGCGTGCTGAAACCACATGACACGTTACAGCCAATACCGAAACTTGACACCGAAAAAAGAGTGACGTTTCAATCCATACACTGACTGGTGCAGTTTGGTCGGTGCTATAAAAGAACCTCGATTCGGTATACAGCCCTACATGTTAGACTGATTGGTAACTCTAAATTGTCCCTAGGTGTGAGTGAGAGAGTGAATGATTGTCTCATTTGTCTCTGTGTCCCTGTGATGGACTGGAGACCTGTCCAGGGTGTTCCCCACCTCTTGCACAAGGACTGCTCAATATGGGCACCAGTGACCCCCGTGACCTGAAAAAGAAGAAGCGGATAAAGAGGAAGTATGGACATGTGTTGTGGGCATGTGTGATGGATATATACAATTTTATTCAGTAGTAAAATATTGTGAATTTTATAAATATTGACAAATTTAAAGAAGAATGCAAGTACCAGTGTTTCAGTTCAACTGAGAATTCAATGTTTTGTTAGTGTTTTAATGTCGAGGTTAAATTGAATGTATTCAAACATCCTCTTGAAATGATCTTCTTTTGCTTCATGTCTGTATGTATCCCCTTCAGATCTTTTTGATAACTACATGCAACAGGATGCCCATGAATTTCTCAACTACCTGCTTAACACCGTGGCTGATATCCTGCAAGAGGAGAAGAAGCAGGAAAAGCAGAACGGACGCCTGAAGAACAACGGCACCGCTGTCACCACCGATGCCGAGGTGGAGAACAAGACGGAGCCCACATGGGTTCATGATATCTTTCAAGGCACACTGACCAATGAAACGCGCTGCCTCAACTGTGAAACGGTGTGTGGTGTTAGACAACTTTAGCTTTTTGGTATTATTTGAGCATGTTGTGTGTGTGAATGTTTAGCCAGCGATATTTCCAGCCAGTCATTCTATTTCTTCACCCACTTTTCCTTTACGGGTCACAGGGAGCTGCTGCCCATATCCAGCAGTCACTGTGTGAGAGGTGGGGGACACCCTGGACATGTCTCCAGTCCATCGCAGAGACGCATAGAGACAAACGAGACAAAGCACTCTCTTACCCAAGGACAGTTTAGACTTACCAGTAAACATAAAATGCATGTTTTCTGTCAGTGAGAGGAAATCTGAGCACCCAGAGAAAACCCACACGTGCACAGAGAGAACATGCAAATTCATTCTAAAAACGCCCGTGGCCAAAAGGCAACGGGAGTAACGCCCGATAAGGTGGAGGAACCGGCTTTTTTCTGTGAATTGCCACATTCTGTGGTGGAGGGGTTTGTGTGCCTGAATGATCTTTGGAGCTTTGCTGTCGGGGGCAATTATTTCATTCAACCTTTATTTCTACAGGTTAGTCTCATTGAGTCATGAGCACTCATTTACAAGAGAGACCTGTTTCAAACAAAAAACATGGCTGAGGTACACACAACAGAATAGACAATCAAATAAAAGCATAAAATGAAAAAGTAAATAGAAAAAATTATATAAAAACAAAACGAAAACAACTAAATCATCAAACAATGTAAAATACTAAAAACAGGAACATGCATGTCTGCATAGATTTTTTTGCCATTGGTAGGGTCTCCTAAGTCAGATTGGTCGTAGGTGATGGGCCAGACAGAACAATTCATGATACTTCTATGGCCAGAAAACACCGGGGGCCCACCCTGAAGCCTGGGGGTAGGGCTCATTGACTGCTTGGTGATCTTGGTCAACTGAATTTATTTAAAAATGCAACTCTTTGATCCAAATCCATGGGACCTGGTCTAATTCTGCCCGAATGAGCTGCATGTTTCACCTTCCTGTTGGCCCACCACATGCTGGAGGGGTCATATAGATGATGTACAATGTGCTATGTGTAGCAATCAAAGGTGGGGGCCCCAGTTCTTTGACCTTATCTCACCGAGGCTGGCTCTATAAAGTCTTAGAAAAATGTGGAAGTGGAGCGTGTATTCATCATGGCCACTACAAGCTTTAACTCAGTTCTGAGGGAGGGCAGAGCGATGGGTTGCTCTAAACAACCCCTGCAAGCATCCAGCAAGCTGCTCTGCCAAAACACACAAGGTCCCATGTCAACTCAACATTCGTTGACATGCGTGTGCAGGTGTGGGTGAGTGGTTGTCAGAACAAAAACAGGTGCGCTGACTCAAAGAAAATTTTAAGTTTTTTTGTCCGTTACAGGTAAGCAGCAAAGACGAGGATTTTCTGGATCTTTCTGTAGATGTGGAGCAGAACACATCAATAACACATTGTCTCAGGTAGTTTGCTATACGCTAAGTAACATATTCCCTTTAGTCAGAAGAAAACTGACTAATCAAGCCTGCTGTGGTGTTTGCTCTCCTCCAGGGACTTCAGCAACACAGAGACTTTGTGCAGTGAATACAAATACTACTGTGAAACATGCTGCAGCAAACAAGAAGCACAGAAACGGTCAGTAAACTCAAACTTTTACACCATCCCTGGTGTGGGGTTTTGTACAAAAAACTCTTAAGGATGTGTGTTACTCTGCAGGATGCGTGTGAAGAAGCTTCCCATGATCCTGGCACTACACCTCAAGAGGTTTAAGTACATGGAGCAGCTGCACCGCTACACCAAGCTGTCCTACCGGGTGGTGTTCCCTCTGGAGCTTCGTCTTTTCAATACGTCTGGGGATGCAGTCAATCTGGATCGCATGTACGATCTAGTGGCAGTGGTGGTTCACTGTGGAAGGTACAGTTTGATAACGAACACCCTAAAAAAGGGCAAGAATGTTGTGACTTCTTCTAAACTTTATTTAGCTACATTTATTGAACTGTTTAGCTGAAAGTCAGAATTGGCCTAGAAAAAATATAATTCAATTTCAATTCAGTTCATTTATATAGTGCCAAATTACAAACATTCACATGTATACAAAAGCCACTTGGTAAAGTTCTCTAAGGAAGCAGCAGACTCATTGAATCTTCACTTCATCACAGTCTCCCATCCTGAGCAAGCACAAAGGAGACAGTGGAAAGAAAAAACTAGAAAAAACAAAGTATTTGGACATCCAAATAGTAATCCGTTGCAATAGTCCAGCCTAGTCATGATGAATGCATGAATCAATTTTTCTGCATCATTTTTAGACTAGATGTTTCTGATTTTAGTGATATTACACAGGTGGAGGAAGGAGATTCTGGTAACATTTTTAATGTGGGAGATAAAAGACATGTCCGGATCAAAGATAACACCAAGATTTTTAACATTAGAGCTGGAGGCCAGATTAATGCCATCCAAAGAAAGTGAAAGACTGAAAAATGAATTCCTGAAAGCACTGAATGTTCCCTTCGTGCATGCGCTGTTCGAGTAATCATACCAACGGAGTCACAGGTGTGACACGGATGACCAAACAGAGGCTATATAGCCCGACGTCATCCGCAGCTCTGCTCCTTTTTTCTTCTCGCATGCGGTTCAATTCAGGGCTTCAGCCCTTTGGACCTTTTTTGAGAGCTGCGGATGACGTTGGGCTATATAGCCTCTGATTGGTCATCCTTGTCACACCTGTGACTCCGTTGGTATTATTACTCAAACAGCGCGTGTGCGAAGGGAACATTCAGTGCTTTCAGCACCGCCCTCTGGCGGTCATCCGGGATTCACAGAACTGTAGTTACATATGTAACTTTCGTTTTAGCTCCTGTAACTGATACAGCAGAAATTTAGTTTAACTGTAAGCTAGGTTTGTTTTTCTGTCCAAAGCTACAACAGAAGCTAAACAGTACATTGTTTTTCACAGTGTGAGAGTTTTCAGATGCCATCTTCTGTGCAGTCATTGTTTGTTGTCGTTTTCCCTCAGTGGCCCTAACAGAGGTCATTATATCACCATAGTGAAGAGCCACGGCTTCTGGCTGCTGTTTGATGACGACATTGTGGAGGTGCGTCACGCAGACAGCTGATTGAAATCTTCTCTGCTGTGTTGGTGTATCACTAAATCTTGTCTTTGAATCTCATTGTGCAGAAAATCGATGCCCAGGCCATTGAGGAGTTTTACGGTCTTACCTCAGACATTTCCAAGAACTCTGAGTCGGGATACATTCTGTTCTACCAGTCCAGGGAGTGAGTCCGGTGCTAGATCAGTGACAAAAGAGAATATTTAGAGGGTAAAAAAAAAATTACCCTCATTATAACAGACTTTTTTTCACATCCATATCCCACAAGCTCTCTGATCAACGTGCCAATCCTCCACCTGATCTCATCCTCTGGGTTTTACAATGTTTCCTGTCCCTCTGTGTGAAATGACTCTTCTCTTTTAGTCACCTGCATCTGGACTGCACTTTAAAACAAAAAGCAAAAATCAGCATGACGTAAACAACAAAACAAGGAAGTGACCAAGCTTTGTGCTACTGGAAGACACTAAATGTGATTCTCCACCAGGAACTTTATAATCTGAGGGATGTGTGCATTTCTATGTTTCTAAGGTCTACTTCCCTAATGTGCCACCTTGTCATGATTCTTTCATTAGGGCTATTCCCCCCAGCACTGTCTGCTCCTATGATGCGTTTATGTCCTTAAAGGGTGTGGGAGACATGAAGGAAGGAAGAGACAAACTGTATAAAACACACAGAGACATGTCGGGCATTTCGGAAGGGTTTCAAGCAATATCCAGACATTAATTACTGATTAATGTCCCAACTTAGAGACTACCTAATCTACAAACTTTTAACACTCTCCAGCTGAACACTACGCTCAGATTTTCAGTCAGATTAGTCCATATATTTCTATTTTGATGAAAAAAAAAACTATTTATTGAGCTGAGCTTATTTATTACTGTATTTTTAAAGTAGACTTGATTTAAGAAAAATGAAGGCTTGTGGAATGTATTTAAGCTCTCAGTGACAGAAATGGTACATCAGATAAACTTTAAGGTGCACATGTTGAAGAGAAATAAAAAAAGATTAACATGATGCCCAACACTTTGACTTACTTCTGTGGCATCGAAGATAATCCACAAAACATCAAGATGCATATCTTTTTGCAACTGCACACAACAAACTTCTTCCTCTTGTTTGTTTCCGATGTTCCACACTGGAATCGACCACGAGTTCTCATTAAAACGAGATCGTTTGTACTGTAGAGTTCCCCCACCGGGAGGGTTTTGTTGTCTTTTACAATAGTGAAGTAATGATTTTATGTGAGTGACATTCCTGTATGAAGTAAACATTTCATCCTGAATAACAGGTGTGCGTGCGTGCGTGCGTGCGTGCATGCGTGCGTGCGTGTGAGTACAGGAGAGGCAGAACTTAAAATGAACAGCTAAACTTTTGTTTCCGTTTGATGAAAAGGGGCAGAGCTTGTGCCAAACTGGATTTAACTCTGAACGTTATTTTTCTTTGTATAAAATCAATTGTACATATAAATTATGTAGAAAAATGGTTGTCCAAATAGGAAAATATTTTTTTAAAGTGAAGGTCTTAAGACTTAAGCTCCGTGCTGGTCAGTAATGAAGAAATGCCATGCTACAATCAATAATCAGTCGGAGAAATGTGGACATGTTAGCATCTGGCAAATGATTGTTGTAGCTAAGTTGATGTGAAACCTGGAGATAGAAGCAGAAACATAAGAAGGACTTTGACTTGCTGATCTTCCATTAACTTATGCACTTATCCTCACTGGGATGCTGGATTCTGTGACAACAGTTTAGTCCTGCTCCAGCTGAAGCGTGATGGAGTCTGTGAGGGGAAACGAGGAACAATAAGGAGTCTCCATTTAGCAGTCAACTGCAAGTGCACTTTATAATTGAAAACCTTTGTTTGAACATGATGAACCATAGTCTAACACTCACATTGACATTTGTCTTTCCTGTTCAATAAAACCAAAATAAACTGACCTTCTGGGTGTTTTGCTTTTATTTTTGTTCTCCAAACAGTCATTTAAGGTGGAATGGCTTCCTCTTTTGTACAATCCTATAATCTGGGTACATAAATTCAGCCTTGCGGTTTGAGTCAAATGACAAAGAACGGATGGATTTTCCTAACTATTTCAATATTTAAGGGAGAGTGAAACCTATTGACTTATGACCCACAGAATGATCCCACCAGGCAATAAAATATTGTTTCTGCTGAGAGCAAGTTTTTTTTTTATATATGTTTATTATTGCAAAGAACAAAAAGCAAAGCTTCTCAAAATAAAGTGAAGATGAGAAGGCTCATTTAGCTCCATTAAACCCCCTACCACCCTAAAAAAGCTTAATAGAACCTACAATGGCAGCCCCATTAAACATGGTAAGATGTAACTTCTTCTGTTCAGGTTTGAAGCCACGACATGATGTTTACAGAAGCTAAAAAAAAAAGTCCATGCTCAATAATCCAGGTATACAATCCCAAGAATTTTCAGTCAGGTCATCTGGACAGTTTTTTTTTCCAAAACGTTTCACCTTCCATCCAGAAGGCTTCTTCAGTCAAGGAAACACACAACACAAAACTGATTCTTCCCCCAACAGCTTACTCCAAAGTGGAACAAACCAATTATGTTGGTGCTAAGATGGATGGTTACAGAAGCTGTCATGTTTAGAAGCAGTCTGTACTATAGGAATGTTACAGTTTCATCATCGTCTTACATGAGCGTTCTTTGAATTAATTACAGCTGAATGTATAAAGAAAAATGATCAAACGTACAGCATCAAGTTGAGAACAATATAAACAAGAATTGACACATGAAAAAAATGAAGTCCCATTAATTTACTTGAAGGTACAGGGACCTAAAACTGGAAGCAGCTGACAGAGGTGCTAGCCTCATTCCACTTCAGCTTCATCATTTTCGTCAGAGGTCTACTTTTTAATTACACTTGATGTCAAACACAAACATGGCTTCTGGGCTCGGAGTGGAAACTGTTCAAGAAAATCATTCTCACTGTATCTTACTCAAAATGAACCACACCTGCAGGAGAAGACTTAACCAGTATTCACTTGCAAAGTCAGATTTTCACTCAGGACAGGTTACATAAATGTACTTAACGTACACACATGAAGACCAGTCACGAGACTCTGCCTCGAGCTGCCTTCTCGGCTTGTTTTTATTCCCTCATCAACCTAGAGATGTCTTTGCAGCTGCTGCCTCACCCAGCTCCTCACTCAGCTCCTCACTCAGCTCCTCACCCAGCTCCTCACTCAGCTCCTCACTCAGCTCCTCACTCAGCTCCTCACCCAGCTCCTCATTCAGCTCTTCATCCATATCCTCACTCAGCTCCTCACCCAGCTCCTCACTCAGCTCCTCACCCAGCTACTCATCCAGCTCTTCATCCATCTCCTCACCCAAACATATGGTTCATGGGCAGAGTTAACCTTCTCAGCCATAGTAATAAAAACATACAAAACTTTTAACCAAAAAATCTCTAACAGAAGCGTTACAGGTCCTTCTCAAAAAATTAGCATATTGTGATAAAGGTAATTATTTTCCATAATGTAATGATGCAAATGAAACTTTCCTATATTTCAGATTCATTGCACACCAACTGAAATATTTCAGGTCTTTAATTGTTTTAATACTGATGATTATGGCATACAGCTCATGAAAACCCAAAATGCCTGTCCCAAAAAATTAGCATATTTCATCCCACCAATGAAAGACAAGTGTTTTTAATACAAAAAACGCCAACCTTCAAATAATCATGTTCAGTTATGCACTCAATACTTGGTCGGGAATCCTTTTGCATGAATGACTGCTTCAATGCGGCGTGGCATGGAGGCAATCAGCCTGTGGCACTGCTGAGGTGTTATGGAGGCCCAGGATGCTTCGATAGCGGCCTTAAGCTCATCCAGAGTGTTGGGTCTTGCGTCTCTCAACTTTCTCTTCACAATATCCCACAGGTTCTCTATGGGGTTCAGGTCAGGAGAGTTGGCAGGCCAATTGAGCACAGTAATACCATGGTCAGTAAACCATTTACCAGTGGTTTTGGCACTGTGAGCAGGTGCCAGGTCGTGCTGAAAAATGAAATCTTCATCTCCATAAAGCTTTTCAGCAGATGGAAGCATGAAGTGCTCCAAAATCTCCTGATAGCTAGCTGCATTGACCCTGCGCTTGATTAAACACAGTGGAACAACACCAGCAGCTGACATGACACCCCAGACTATCACTGACTGTGGGTGCTTCACACTGGACTTCTGGCATTTTGGCATTTCCTTCTCCCCAGTCTTCCTCCAGACTCTGGCACCTTGATTTCCGAATGACATGCAAAATTTGCTTTCATCCGAAAAAAGTACTTTGGACCACTGAGCAACAGTCCAGTGCTGCTTCTCTGTAGCCCAGGTCAGGCGCTTCTGCCGCTGTTTCTAGTTCAAATGTGGCTTGACTTGGGGAATGCGGCACCTGTAGCCCATTTCCTGCACACGCCTGTGCACGGTGGCTCTGGATGTTTCTACTCCAGACTCAGTCCACTGCTTCCGCAGGTCCCCCAAGGTCTGGAATTGGCCCTTCTCCACAATCCTCCTCAGGGTCCGGTCACCTCTTCTCGTTGTGCAGCGTTTTCTGCCACACTTTTCCCTTCCCACAGACTTCCCACTGAGGTGCCTTGATACAGCACTCTGGGAACAGACTATTCGTTCAGCAATTTCTTTCTGTGTCTTACCCTCTTGCTTGAGGGTGTCAATGATGGCCTTCTGGACAGCAGTCAGGTCGGCAGTCTTACCCATGATTGCGGTTTTGAGTAATGAACAAGGCTGGGAGTTTTTAAAAGCCTCAGGAATCTTTTGCAGGTGTTTAGAGTTACGTCGTTGATTCAGATGGTTAGGTTAATAGCTTGTTTAGAGAAACTTTTCATGATATGCTAATTTTTTGGGACAGGCATTTTGGGTTTTCATGAGCTGTATGCCATAATCATCAGTATTCAAACAATTAAAGACCTGAAATATTTCAGTTGGTGTGCAATGAATCTGAAATATATGAAAGTTTCATTTTTATCATTACATTATGGAAAATAATGACCTTTATCATAATATGCAAATTTTTTGAGAAGGACCTGTATAGTAAATGGTCTGTACTTATACAGCTCCTTTCTATCTTATTTCAAGATACTCAAAGCTCTTTACAACAATCTGTGCCTCATTTACCCATTCATACATCACTCTACTAGATCTCTACAAAGCTAATTGAACAAATCAT